AGCCGGAGGGTCTGGAGACGGGGCAGCAGGATCGGTACCGGGAAGCGGTCAGTACTGTGGAACTGGGACAGGGAGCGTGGGAGCCCTGGGGTGGGGTAATGGGACTGGAGCGAAGCAGGGATGGGGACTGGGGCAGCAGCATCACTCAGCCCAGCTGGAGCTGAACCCGAGGTTAAGGCATCTCACTCGGTGCTGGGACTGGGCCAGGTTGGGAGGTTGGGGGACCAAACCTCAGGTGGGTCAGGGGCAGAACTGAGCTCCCATCTCTGGCCCCACAGGCCACAGGGTGTGTGGTCAGAGCAGAGGGGCTGCATGTCAACCAGGGCAGGGTCACTGTCACCTTGCTTGGGTCCACCATATAGCCCAGCGCCTGGGGTGGGCTGTAGGGTTGGAGTGCTCGGTGCTGCACGTCCTCCATCACATCTGCGTAGGCAGTGGGGTCGGATCAGCAGCCACAGAGGCTGAGGGCTGGAGAGAGGGGACATCTTCCCTAAGCAGACCCCTCTAAGGATGTGCTGGGACCCTGTGGGTGTGGAGGGGATTCAAGGGGAGTCCAGCAGAGCTTGCTCTGTACAGGGACTCACAACAACCGTGGCTGCTGCAGGGCTGGACCATGAGCTAGCTTTCTCCAAGATCATCGTGGAGCTGCGAAAGAAGCACCCAGGCCATATCCTACCGGATGAGGACCTGCAGTGGGTGTTCGTGAACGCAGGCGGGTGGATGGGTTCCATGTGCCTCCTGCATGCCTCGCTCACTGAGTACGTGCTGCTCTTTGGGACAGCCGTCGACACCGGCGGCCACTCAGGTAAGCAGGGGGATGGGGCTGGCGGGTGGGGGTGGTTCTCTGAGCTCTTTCCACTCCGTTTGTTTGAGTCTGACTGCCCTGGTCATGGTGTGCCAGGGCAGGGAGCCCACTGCTCCACTTCTTTTGTGGGGTGCAGGAAAACGCCCTTTGCGTGGGGACCAGCGCCCTGGTGTCCTGCAGCACCCGCAGGTCCCTGTGCGTGCCATGCCATGTGGCCAGGACTCTCCGCATCCAGCTGGCAGGCGGTGGCGAGCATCACGTCTCCCAGTGCTTCAGCCAGGAGTGAATGCCAGACATGCTGGAAACAACTTAGCTTAAGGACAGGGAGCAGTCCAGGCTGGT